TTATGAATTATTTTTTAACTATTTCGCTTTTGTCAGTTTAGTTTAGACAAGTGATTTCAGTATGTCGTTTTGTGATGATTCAAATGCTCGGAAAACAATACATGGTGTTTATAAATTCCCGGACCCATTTTGATGTTTAATAACTCATAAAATAATGAAGATATAAACAAACTTATGGCATTTATTGATGGAATAACTCATATATTTTCCTTTTCAGGTTTGAATTGTAAATATCGTCTGCACGTGTGGTTAATTTCAGATAATTTAATTTTCCAGTCTAAATATCTGTACTTTTCTAAATATCGTCTGCTTATTAATTGCATTTTTCTCTCTTTTGTTTTTGGCAACTATTGCAATGTTATGTTTACTTATGATGTGCTTGTTCTATGTAGTACTTTTTTATGTGATGTTTTATTCGAGCGGATATTAAGGAGAATTCATACACCACAGCACAGATTTTATGGTGGATGCCGACATGCTTGCCGCTACCTGGCTTGTAATTGACTATCGACTTGATACTCTCCTTGCGACGAAGGGGGCACACGTGGAAGTTCATTGACAAGGGTCATGAAACTTTTGGATTCTATCTAACCATTTATGTTATTAATTTTAATCTATCTTTATTATTTTATGAGTTATTAAACATCAAAATGGGTCCGGGACTTTATAAACACCCTGTATTATTATTATTTTTTTTTTGAAGTAGACCTATTGAGTGATATGGGTGTACTTTTTTTGTCCTTTTTTCTCGAATATCTTCCATTGTTTTTGTAACTTTCCGACGGTATCCACATCAGTTTAATTTTGAAATTTGAGGATTAAACTTCCACCTCTTAGGAGATAGGAAGGAAAAAGAAGATAGATCTCTTCAGAAAAGCTGAAAATAAAAATCTAAATGAAATAATGGGGACAAATTCATCTTAAAATGTTATTGAATATCTAAATCAATTTCCGGCACACTTTTCAATTACATTATATGTGCTATCGTATTGCGTTTAAGACCTATTCAATTTTACCGACATCAGAAAATAAAAGAGCATTAAATCCTCTTTATTCACTCGCTCTGAGTCACAAGTTTAGAAAACCTGTAATCAGGGACCTTATCGCCTAATCGTTCAATTAGTTAGGGGAGGCGAATAAGCTGTCAATCGAATTAAAAGCAAAGTGGCGCTAAAGCGGCCTTTATTGAGGAAGAACCTCACCCAACATTCTGCCATCTGCTTTTGACAGACTCAACACCGTCGAACATAGTGGAGGGTCTAAGAACTTTTTTTTTATCGTTTGCGTTACCGGACTGTGATGCTGGATACTCTCCCATCCGGTATCCGGACGTCACTCAATCGGGAACCGGATGGTCGGTCGGTTATCGTTTGGATTCCCATGAGGATGCTGCGGATGTGGGAGGGGAGTAGGTGGTGGTCGAAGCAGATGGATATCGTTTGGCAAAAGGAACGTACGTGTTGCCCTATAGAATGAATGATGACAGGAACGTGGATGGGTGTAGGGGAGGGATAATTAGGAAACGCGGAATGTCACTTATATTCTCTGTTGGGGGGTCTGTATCTATCTTGGCGCTGTTTTCGGTTGAAGAAGCCAAGCGTTTCGAGATTCAGAGCCAAATGGGACTATAAATTACGTCTCTGTCATCGAATTACGTAGTTTCTCGGATTTGCTTATGTTGTGTTTGATTTATGAGCTTTCTTTTTGGGTTTATAGATGCAAAAGATATAAACTCTGGGGAAGTTCCAGATTTGTTTATAGTTAACAGTTTATTTATAGTTTATTTAATTCGTTTATCAAGTCAGTTTTGAAAAATTCTCCTTTTGCAAGGATTCTGCTAAGTGAAATATTTATTCATTGCATGGAATAAATAATTAAAAATGAATCTACCTGCAAAGAATTCATGATTAGGTTTGAGTTGCAAAACTTCAACTGTCAAAAAAAAAAAAAAAAAAACTAAAAGGGAAATCTTTTTGAAAAAATACATCGCTCTAATGCTACGAATTACTAATAATAAGAATGAAAAACTACACTCAGTACATAGGGGAGAGTCAATAATATTAAAATTTCGCAATTGCATTCTTTAATTTTATCGTTAACTACATTAGTCACATCATTGTTAATTACATTAATTAATTACATTAATCGATTACATTAATCAATTACATGTCGATCACATTAATTTGTTAGCTCCTTGAATAAAAGTTTTCTTCCTTGTAAATGATTTAATTCTTTTTGTTCATTTAATTAACATGTTTTCAAAATAGTATCTATTTCGATTAACTCATAAAAAACCTTTTCTTTTAATATTTTTATTAATATTTTTAAGAAAAATTTTTTTTTTTCAAATCTTTCTTTCCTAAAAATAATTAACTATGGTTATCAAGCGCATTACCATAAAAATTTGCTTGAATTCTTAGTTTTATAATGTTTAATACTCCTGAGAAAGTTTAAAAACTACTGAATACTGCTACTTTGATATACTTTTACAGTTTTACTTATAGAATATTCAATTAAATGTTGCATTTAATAGGTCAGTGGCTCTTTTTTAACTGTTTAAGGACAATTAAATGTTTACTGAAATTAAAATATTTAAGATATTTTAGCAAAAGTTATTAGCTATAAATATATGAATACTTAATTTTAGTTCATATTTTATGAATTAATAAATATTAGGTTTCAAGATGTTTTTTGTTTCTAATCATCTTAAAATAACGCTAGCAAGCAATCTTTAATTTAGTGAATCTTAAAAGTACAAACTCTCACCATTTGTCCAATTTCTACCCAAATCATGTGAATTGTTTAATTCACGTCATTTACAAGGAGAAAGAAATTGTATAAGTCGATTTAGTTCTTTAGCTTTTGATAGAAATCTGAGTTCTGTTGGGAAAAGTAGCCAGATGGTTGTTGTACTCCAGAGAACATGAGATCTGAAGAGTTTTACTTATCATTATGTTTATAAACATGAAAAGTGAAGATACTCTTTACGCTAAACAATACAGACTTATTAATAAAATATTCTAATTTTTTTCCCGTTTCAAAATTTCTTTATCTAGTAAATCATGGTAATAAAAACAAAGGTCAACTAAAACGGCAGAATATCAGCACCATGATTAGTTAAATGTTGCGCTTGTTCTAAAAAAATTTTTTAAGCTTATTTTTTTATTTATTGAAATTAATATTGGGGTTACGTATGCCTTAAATGAAATAACAGAATAAATATTTGTCATAAAACAAGCAATTTTAAAAATGTAATTGCACACTTTTATAATCTAAAAAGTTATAAGGAATTGAAAGATATGTTTTAAGTTGCTCTCTCCCGTTACTAAAATATTTTAAAAATAAAAATGGCTCCCATGTCCAACATTTTAAAAGTGTTCTTTTTCTTTATTTACGTATTTCATTTTTAATTAAAACATCAATAAGTTATCTTGTAATAAAATAGTAATAAGTTAAAGAGCGTAAAATGCTTTATGGAATGTATTCAATACTTAATCTCTTTATTCACCCATGTTCTATTTTGATAGTATACTAGTAGATGGCAGCACAAACAACTAGAAAACTTTGAGACTAAATACTAGCATATTTCTATTTAAAGACTAAATTGTTACGGAATGCTTGCTTGGAATAATTTAGTTACTTAATATATGGTTCTAGATATGCATGTATGTAATTTAAGAATAATTTTACGTAAAACTTATATTATAATAAGAAAATAAAATTAAATATACCGGAATATGAAATAATAAGTAAAAATATAGTAAACAGAATGAATTGGTAAAAAGGTTGTAAAAATATTCAACTTTAACAAGTAAATATTTAAGGAGCTATACAATTTAAAAATTTTGTTACAATTTCATACAATTTACAATATTTTCGATAAAAATTTTTTTACTTTATATTTTTATAATATGCTAATTAATATTAAATAACATTTTTTGAACAACGATTTCTGTTAAATAATATTTTTTTAAAAATAATACTCGCTATAGTGTATTTATGCTAATAGAAATGTATGATAGTGAACATAAAATTACTTTTACTTTAAAACAGAAGCTAAAATCCGTTTGGAATTATAGTTGGGGAGAGTTGTAAGTTTTTTTTTTAATAATAGCACTTTAATAGAATATTTTACAATTCGAACACCACAATCCTTAACATATGTACAAAAATTTCTAATAATTCGCGTTTATAAATAATTCAATGCATTATTTTAGTAATGCATTATCAAACAATAGAAACAAATTCTGTAAAATACGAATGAAGTTATATACTGAATATTTTCCATCCTTTGACAGGTAATTTATCAGAAATTTGCTGGAATTATGTAGGGGTGCAGTCCTAGGGACCCAAATTGAAATGAGGCTTATAAATCACATTTTAATATTGATTTTAAAAAACACTTTGAAATTCTCTTTTACATTAAATGCTTTCATTTATTTTGGAAAACACTATCGTTCATCGTCTTTTTCATTTAATTTTATTATATTTTTACGAAAAGCATAAATCATTTAAAAATGCTATACTCTTAAGAATCATGCGCCGTAAATTTTTTTAAGCATTTGTAGAGGCCTTAAAAAATATATCAAAGAATTTATAAATCTATGTGCTGTAACATCAGTAGTTTAAGTGCATGGATTATTCACAAAATAACTTAAGAGTATGTAAAATATAATTGAAGGTTAATAAATAGGTGACATTAATTAAATAAATTAAGAAAAATAAATACATACAAATATATACTTAAAAAGATTTACGACCAAACTGGTGGGAAATGATAGCAATAAAAATATAGATTGACCCCCTGTTTTCTTAAGGGGGGAAGTTATATGAAATAGTGATTGAAAATTTAAAAAAAATTGAAATTATTTTTTTCCACTATCATGAAAAAAAAAATACATTTAAAATATTATTTAGAAACATAAATTTTAGTTGGAGTTTGATGAAAACAAATTTTACTCAGATAGCAACAATGTAGTACAAACAATGTCTAAACTTACTTGATTCGGAGTGGTGGGTTCATTGTTATTCTCCCCAACAAACTCATCTTTATCCTGGTCATCGAGACCATTAGAGAAGATATGGTTACAGTTAGATTCATCACCATTCCTTATGCCTTCCTTCATTTCACCTTCCGAATGGGAATTAACGACCCCTTCAGGAAGAATATCGTCTGCTGGGAGGGACATCTTGTCTACACTGCCTTTCATCTCGTGCTGCAAGGAAAACACATTTACAGATTCTTAAGGATGGACAGATTCTTGGCAATTTATTTCTGACAAATCAATTTATCTCTGCATTTATACATTTCCTTCAATGTTGCAATATATATATATATATATATAATAGGATGTGATTTTTTGAATTTGTTTTTCACAAATATAATTTAATATTTTTAACTTCAAAGCAAATTGTAATATCCGTAAAAAAAACAGAAAAAAATTAAGTAATTTATTGCTTGACATCTTTTAATCCACATGCAAATGTGGATAATGGATAAATTTATTTATAATTTGTATTACAAATCTAACAGTAAAAGTTATTTCTAGACTTTTACTTGCGTTAGATCTTGAATACATAAATCTATCCATGTTTGTTTATTAAGATTTAAATCGCAAAAATTGTTGAAATATTTCTCACAAAATTGTACTCTAATCCCGATAAGGCATAATAACAAGATTGAATATTTATCATATTATAACTTGAGCAAATANTATAATATTATACAGGGGAGTAAGACCTTATGTACGGTAATGTACGAAGGGGGGGGGGAGGGGTTTAAAATTTCTCCATATTTGTGTACGTACTTTTTGAACGGCCCCTATAGACTTTACCAGAATATGATAAAATTTACCATGCGTCTGGATCCAAAGAGCAAGAAGCTCGGTGATTTTTAAAGAAGCGATTTGGTGATGATTTTGGTAAAATTAACTAAAGAAATATGGATTTATAATATGTAAAAAAGTTTGTAAATGAGGCAAAATTTGGTTACTTTATCGTAATACCTTAGAGAATGGCATAAAAACAATTTATTTGGTTACATTTACTTTCTAATATTTACTTATATTTACTTATTTTTTACTAAATGTTGTAATAAGATTTCTAATTTTGAAAACCGGAACTGGTAATGATATTTCTATTAAAAAAACAAACAAACATAATTTTAGTTCATGAAACCAAAATATTTAAACCCTATATTTGGAGATTTTTCCATTCATAGGGAACGGTTTACCAGAAATTCTGGTTTTCAAATTTATAGTTCACAGTAAAAAAAAAAAAAAAGGCTTCTCATAATCGAGGGAAAATGCGTCAAAATGAAGTAAATAATAGTCGAATTTAAAATCCCATGTATTCAAAATTAAAACTCATTTCTGGGCAAAATTCATAGTCGTAAAAATGATGTAGTAGCAGATATATATGAGAGAGATGTTCGTTCGCTCCCTTCAAAATTCGAACTTAGAAACTCAGAATTCATGATAGGATGCTTGAACTACCATAATTATGAAAGACAGGCATATATTACAGGCATACAGGCCAGAAACAAATTTCATCGAATTAAATTAGTGAAATTTTTTTATAAATTAAATTTCTAAATAAGAATTGATTTAAACATAAACTGTTTTTACGCAGTCTAAGTTTCAAATATTTAACTATACAAAGATCAAAAAAACTATCGGAAAGAATAGATGTACCTCAATTTAAAGCAAAAATAGTTTCAATGAACAATTTACTAGTACATAATCGAATCATTTCTAAATCTTCTACACCCGCTTTAAAATATTCTTAGAAAAAATCATTAAACTTCTAACGATTCAGAAATTAAATTAGAATAGTGACTAAATCATTTTCACTGTGGAACCAAATTTAAGTTAATTTTAATTACTTATTATAGAAAATTATAAGTCTTAAACAAACTGATAAAAACAAACATTGTTCAAAACTAGAATATAATTTAGTTTTATTTTCATATACTAAATTTGTTTTAATGAAACTCAAATATTTAAACACCAAAATCATATTTAAGATAATTTAATAAGATTTTGATCCCAAAGTAATCATCTTAATTTCTGAAAATCAAAATATAAAATATTGTGTGAAATTTATACAAATCAATATAGTGATACTTACCATACAAATTGAAATCGAAATTAACCTTAAACTTCAAGTAATTAATTAAACTATTATGTAAAGAACTGAAAATAAGCACAAGAATCCAAAATAGTTTAGAGTTAAAAGAATTTCAGTAAACAATTTAATAACTTTTAACAAGTTCTTTTTTAAATCTTTAATAAAATAATAGCAAAGACTTTTAATGAAAACCAAAAACACTTGTAAAACTTCTGTACTGAGAAAAAAGTAATTAAATTAATAATTAAGTTACATTTAATAATTTATTAAAGTAATATATAATTCAAATTAAACTTTTAACGAGAGTAATGATCTGAATATTTGTAAATTAAAATATAACTTATCATGCGCAAATTTTTGCTCATTAATAGTTACACTTATTCTAAAAAATCTGAATTCTTATTTAAACCGATCTAAAATTTCAAATAATTAATGAAACAATGATCGAAATAGCTGATAATAAGCAAATAAATCCATATTAATTTAGAGTGAAAATGATTTCAGAGAATAAGTCATTAACATTTATTAGATTTATTGATAAATCACTTACAAAATGAGATGAAACAATTCACTCGGAAAGCTAAAAACACTTGTGAAAATGGTATACTAAAATATAATTAAATTAATAATTAGTTTATTTTCAATTATTAATTAAATAATATATACTTTAAATAAATAATTTAAATGAATAATTTAACTAGATCTTTTAATAAAAGTAGTAACCTGAATATTTTTAAATTGAAATATTTGCGCAAATTGATGCAAATTAATAGTGACACTTACTTTTAAAAATTTAAATTCTAATCTAAATTGACCTAAAGTTTCAAATAATTAACAAAACAATAATCAAAACAGCTGAGAATAAGTACATAAATCCATATTAATTTAGAGTAAAAATGTTTCCAGTGAATAATTTATTAACACTTAATAGATTCATTTATAAATCTCTTACAAAATATGAACAAAGAATTCGAACAAAAGCCCAGCACTCGTATGAACAATTCAAAGCTCAAACAACGAAGAATAAGCGACTTATATTCATCACAAAATATTCACGATACAACGAATTTCGAAAGATAATTTGGCGACTACACCACTTTTGCGCCAAAATATAAAGACAAACTGGATGAAGGTTGAGAGCAAAACGGGTTTATAACATTCGACAGGAAAGATAATTGGAAATCTCCGGCGAAGAATTCTGTCAAAAACAAAAATACATTTCCCAAGCTACGGAAATCGAAACACATACGCGTAAACTTTTAAAAGACTGAAAACTTAGAAGTATTTTCCTTACGATGTAATTTATTTTCCTATATAAAGAGGAAATAAATTATTTAAATGTGAATTTTTATTCTGCTAAGAAAAAGCATTTTTTTACTCAAACATTTGAGAATTCTCAAAAGAAGTGGAAAAAAAAAATCTTTTAAATAGAAATGGTATTGCTTGTTTAGCATTTATATTTGAGAAAGAGGAAAACCTTAATTTAAAATATCTAATTTTTATTTTTTATTTTAAAAAGAATGTGTTAAGATTGAGTTTGGAATTAATAAAGCGTTTTAAATTTATTTATGAGTTTTGAAAAGAGTTTTACGAAACTACTTTTTATTTTTACATTATATTTATTTCATAGCAATCAGCGAATTATTTAATTAATATGTAAATTAATTCAATGGATCAAAATGGAACAAAAATTTGGAAATAGCTCTAATAATATTCCTTTTAATTGAAAAGTTTAGTAACTAATGTTAAAGTGTAAGAAGACTGAGAAAAAGTATGATCTTAACTACCAGACAATGGTCAAATTTAACGTTTTTTTTCATCTTTAAGAACAATCAAAAGCTCGATAATTTTTACCAAAGCGCTTTGATAATGAACTTTGTAAAATTAACAACAAAGTATAATTTAATAAAATGTGATAAAATTTAGTAATTTTTTCATGATACCTTAGATCATAGCATAAAACCATTTTTTTAGTTCAATTAACCTTTCAGTTTTGTATTTTTTTCTAAATGTGTGCTATTAAGATCTATTTTAAACATGGAACTTTCACTAAACCGTTTCCACATTAACTTAAAAAAATACCAAATGAATGTTTTAATACCGTATATTTAAATTTTTATTATCAGATGTATGTTTTTTTTTAACAAAAATGTTATCACTATAGAGAACGGTAATTTTAGCAGAAGTTTTTTCTCTGTGAAATTTGTATTTTCTATTAGAAATTACGTTAAATAATTTTTGAATTATAAATTATTATTTTTTATAATAATACACCACATTAAGTCACTTTTGACAGACACATTTTGATTAAAATATAGATTTTAATAAATAATAAGTGTTAATAAATGTAGCTATACATTGCAACCTATGCAAAACGTGAAAACTTACTTTAACATATTTTCTACAGAAAAAGTATACATTTTCCCATAATAATAAGAGAAAAAAGGTTGAATATAACTACATTGTGATTTTCAAGAGTTAAAATTTTTATATTTAAAAATAATAATTTCCTGTGTTTTGGCAATTGTAAAATTTAGCACAGACTCTAACTAACTATTACATATCATCGACTAAACAAATTAAATAACAATAATTATCAGACATCTTTGCCAGGAACGGAATTAATCTCCGTATTATTACAAACAGAGAAATTTATAATCAATCGGAATTTCGACTACTGTCCGATGCATTATATAAATAAAGCTGTGTACTGGATCACATCTCAAGTTTAAATAATTTCCTGGCCATTACAAGCTGATTTCATACCCAAGTCAAAATTCTTGATGGTCTTATCAAAACATTTTGATGGTTTATGTTGGTTTCAGCCCGATTCATGATGGTCACCATCATCCAGCATTTTCCAATATGGATAATTGGAGTTTGATAAGCCAACAAACTTCCATCATTCCATGATGGAAAATGCTACTTTAATACTATGATGGTTAACCATCAAGAGAAGTTTAATTTTCATGGACCAATAATCCATGACGGTCTAGGTTCCAACTATACATTTACACGATGTTATAATGGGAATTCTTGATGATTCTCAGGAATATTCCGTAGTATACTGGAAATCAAATGTTTTAAC